AGGTCCAGGAAAGAGTAACAAAAATGATTAGAGGTCTAGAAAACATGACCTGTGAGGGAAGACTGAAAACTGGTTTTTGTTTAGTTTAGAAAGGAGAGAAGACTGAGAAGGGACATAGCAGTTTTCAAGTACCTAAAAGGGTGTTTCAAGAAGGAGGGGGAGAAAATATTCTCCTTAACCTCTGATAGGACAAGAAGCAAGGGCTTAAATTGCAGCAAGGGAGGTTTAGATTTGACGTTAGGAAAAAGTTCCTTACTGTCAGCATGATTAAACACTGTAATAAATTGCCTAAGGAGGTTGTAGAATCTCCATCATTAGAGATATTTAAGAGCAGGTTAGACAGACACCTGTCAGGAATAATCTAGAAGATAGTACTTGGTCCTGCTGTGAGGGCAGAAGACTGGACTTGATGACTTCTGGAGGTCCCTTCCGGTGCTAATGTTCTATGATTCTATGGTCATGGAGGATAGGTTCACCAATGTGCATTACCCAGAATGGGCAGGGATGGTATCCCTGGCTGCTGTTTGTCAGACACTGAGAATGAGCAACAGTGGGTTAGATCACTTGATTACCTATTCTGTTCCTTCCCTCTGGATCTTCTGGCATTGGCCCTGTTGGAAGACTTGGAAGACTAGCATAAGTGGACCTTTTGTCTGACCCGGTATGACTGTTCTTATCTTGTTAAACTAGCAATTTCTTTTGCTATAAAAAATGAAAATATAATGTTCTTTATAAAGTATAAGATGCATATTAGACTGTTTAAGATGGTTGTGCTATATTTTTAGGGACCCCATAGTATATACTTAAAATAATCATGAGGGCATAGGACAGGAAGGGATTTCCTTGGTTATCATGTCTAGTACCTGTGACTGCAAGCTACCACTATCATATAATCCTGGAAATAAATATTATCAAGCTCCACTTTAAAATCCATAGGTTTCCCCCCAGGTACCTGTTCCTCTCCCCTCCCCTACTCTCCTACTGTATGAACTGTTCCAGAACCTCACTCCTCTAGTCAGAAACCTGCTAAGTTGCAGGCTAACCTTATTCTTAGCCTGTTTATACATATTTGTTCACATGCCAACATTAGCATCTGTCTTAAATAGCTGTTCTCTGATCTTTACCCTTTGACATTTCTGGAAAGCAATCACATTTCTTGTCAGCCTTCTTTGTTCTAAACAAGCTAAGCCCTTTACATTTCCTTGTCTAAGGTAGGTTCTCCAAGTCTGTTTCCTTGATCATTTTAGTAGAACTTGTCTGTACTTGTTCAAATATGAATTATTTCTTGAACATGAGTGTCTAGAATGGTATATAAAATTAAGTCTTACTGGTACCTTGTACAATGGAATTAATGCTTCCTTTTCTCTACTGGACATATCTTGCTTCATACATGCTAGGAATATACTCCTTTTTCATAGCTAGGGTTGCCATATGGCTTCAACAAAAATATTGGGCACACTTGACATTACATCACAATCTACATTACATCTTATGTAGAAAATACTGGTCATGTATATTTTCTCATTTTATATTTTTTTCAATTTTTCCTGAACAGAAAACTCAAATACTGGACTGTCTGGTTCAAAACTAGATACCTGGCAACCCTATTCACAGCTGCATCATTTTGATGGCTTAATCATCCTCTGATCAAATAATAAATCCAGGTCTTTGTTTCCTTCTGTCATTATATTTGTTTCCATTAGCATCCTGCCTTTGCCCCAGTGGTCTGCATTATCATTATTGAGAACTGAGGAAACATAGTTATTTTGTTTGATCCATACTATATTGCTTAATTTCTATCCCACTGGCTTTCGGTTTGTGGGCTGTGGCACCCTGAGGATCCACTGACTAGGTCAAGATTTGAAATATTTTGGAGGGTCTTCAAATGAAAACAGGTTGAAAACAGCGGTTTTACTCCATAGCAGCCCTACTTTTTTTTCTTGTGCCTTTTTCTTTATAATGGATGGAAAAAAAACCTTTTACTATTTTGTTTTAGTTTATTTTGCAAGGCCTAAGTAAAGACTGCATTCAGCACATTGAACTATTATGAGGTTTAAAAAGGATTTCCTGTTGTTAGACACACCACATTCTTGTAAGATACAAAACACACCCTCCAGCCTGTATTTTAAAATACTGTTGTTTTTTATGAGAGCTGCACTTCCCTTTACATTTGGAATGGTGTTGTTTCAGATTTCAGTGATGTACAGCTCATTTCATAACTATTAAGATTCCCATTTCTCATTATAGTTTTCTTGTTCAGCATAACACATCTCAGTAATCTGATGTGCATATTAAAGGAAGCATTTTACACATCTGGTTATTTACAAGATTTATCTGATATTTTAATTTTTACATGCAGCTAGTTTTTCCATATTTGCTATTTTGTAATATATTTAACTTGCTTAGGTATGCTTTGTGGAATGTTGCTTGTTTTGTATCATTTTTGTCATTTGTGTGTCTAGCATTCTATACCTCTAATTTATCTGATCTAAATCTGTAGCGACAGCATTTCCTTGTTCAACATTACCAGCATCACGCCTGTTCGAGGATGACAAACTGAAATTACCCATTTAAATTAAATGGAGAAAATTGTGTGCATTCATGCATCTACTTTTCATAAGTTGAATTTGCCAGTTCTCATTTCATAGTAATGTGACTAAATATCACTGACATTTGTTTGCTTCTGCCATCGGTATAGTGTCACTTTGGGTCAGTTTACACTCCATCAAAAAACTCCTGGGACTGCTATAGCTGACCCAGGCAAGTTGACTCAGGCTTTACAGAACTGAAAATTGTAGTGTGGATGTTAAGGTTTGGTTTGGATCCTGAGCTTTGAGACCCCATTGGGGAAGAGGGTTTCAGATTTTGGACTGCGGCCTGAGCCCAGATGTCTGTGTTGCAATTTTTTGCCCCACAGTCTAAGTCCTGCAAAGCTGAATCGATTGATCTGGGCTCTGAAACAGTACAGTGGGTTTTTACTATAGTATTAATATCCTTTAACTGCATGTTTCTGTACATACGTTTTATGAATGAAGCTGACATTCTTGAAAAATAAATACTTAAATGTTTTACAAAGGCAATTGCAGTTTATACATCAATTTAAAAAGCATTACAGAAGGATAAAGTGCAAACATCCTCAAAAGTAATTTCACATCACTAACCTGCTGTCTCTTGAGAACATATTAACTTTAAATCTGTAAAAACGTACTCCATAGAGTTCATACCGGCATAATGAGTCCAGTGTAATTGACCTCAATGTTCAGACAGCAAATGAACCATAACACATACACAGTGCTCTAAGATTGACAGCATAACTACACCTAATCACATCTGAAGCAAGTGAACTGAACAACATTCTGTCGGATAGTTAACAAGGGGAATGTGTTTTTCAGTGATAGAACAGAAAGAGAACCTCCCTTTGCCTTTTGTGGCAGATCCTTGCTGCCTGTTATGACAGCTTACTACCTCTTTGCTGCACTGGGATTTAGTAATCCTAACAAGGTGGTTGCTGTTGCCCAACAAATTGCAGAGCACAATGTTGTTCGCCATCAGGTGTTTTAGCTGGTGCTCCTTTGAGAACTAAAATCTTTTTGGTGTATATATGGATTGCAGTTAAAGGAAAAAGGGTATAATGTTTCAAATAAAGAAAATTATAGGAAGCTACATGTATACTGTCAACTCTGGCAAGTGTATGTGTAGTATGTTGCATTATCATAATCAATTAGAATTTTTAGGCACATCTGAAAATTTCACTCTTAATAGTCAGTAATTAATGAGTTTTCATTACATTATCCTATTTCAGTAAACTTCCGATAATCCGGCACCTTTAGGACCCAGGGGGTGCCGGATTATCAGATATGCCGGACTATCAGAAGGCGGGGCTATGAGGGGTCTGAGGTAGGGTGGGGGGATGCTACCCCAGACCCCCTCATAGCCCTCCCTTCTGATAGTCTGGCTCTGCCCCAGGAGTCCCCGATTCAACCGCTGCTGGTCAGTTTCAGCAGCGGCTGAATCTGGGACGCCTGCGGCAGAGAAGGCACGGGGCTGGCCCACG